CCATGAATTGATAATATTATAGCAATTTTCAACACCACGGCCTTTAATTTTCAACACCACGAACTTGAATCTAGATAACCACGAGCTTTAATTTTGAACACCACGACCTTGAATGCAGACAACCACGGGCATGAATTCACTACACCACGACCATGAATTGATAATATTATGGCCGTGGTGCCTGCATTTATTTGAATTCACTACTCCAGTTTTTCATTACATGTACCTCTGTTTATCTTAACAACCCTCAAATCTAGTATGTCAACAACAATGGTTCAGAAATGCATTCAACTGTATACGATTAAAGAAATGGTCGTACAATAATAATAAGAACGTTGAACTATACAAAACATACTTCAGAACTATTACAAAAGTATTATTCAAATGATCGATTTGTTAGCCCAAAGCTGAACGGCAAATTGCCGCCTAAAAAATGACATCTTAGACTGTGTTAGGGTATCAAAGGAAGAGGCAGTGGCATCGTACTCAAAAAATTTGACACAAAATATACCGCAATCACCGCCCATGTCYTGCTGGGGTGCTGATGCGACWCTACGGATGCGCCATGGCGTGAGTGGTATATTCGGCTTGTTTAGATGAACACYGGCCCTACAAATAAGTGCTGGTATAATARTGACCATCGGMTTCAGCTCTGCTTCCAACTTGGACAGTCGGGTCATGGACATGAATGAGTCCCACACGATGAGCTCACCCTCTTCGAAGTCGATGCATATCATTACCCAGTGCTTTCCACCGATGTTATACGGTAGATAAACGRCATCAACATCYATCCAACGCTTCTCGTAGTCCGAGTGAGTACCATCGMTGTAGCTGAGCACAGTCCTCRCTCTTCCTTCCCAGTCATATTCGGTCGCAACCCTTGAAGCAATGGCGTTATGAGATTGCATGCAGGCATAGACACCGTCCGTTCGTCTAAGAAAATTCTGTAACCAATACGACTATTAAATAAAAGGTGTATATGTGTATATATATATATATATATATATATATTTATGTATATTGCGCTGTTAGAATAATAAAACTTACCGAGAGTACTCGGTCACCGGTGGTGAACTTGCGGCGACACAAGTCCGGTCGCAATTCGAGTTTTTTACGCACGAACATGACCAACGAATCGATTACCTGCNTGCGCCATGGCGTGAGTGGTATATTCGGCTTGTTTAGATGAACACCGGCCCTACAAATAAGTGCTGGTATAATAGTGACCATCGGCTTCAGCTCTACTTCCAACTTGGACAGTGGTGTCATGGACATGAAGGAGTCCCACACAATGAGCTCACCCTCTTCGAAGTCGATGCATATCATTACCCAGTGCTTTCCACCGATGTTATACGGTAGATAAACGGCATCAACATCCATCCAGCGCTTCTCGTAGTCCGAGTGAGTACCATCGATGTAGCTGAGCACAGTCCTCGCTCTTCCTTCCCAGTCATATTCAGTCGCAACCCTTGAAGCAATGGCGCTATGAGATTGCATGCAGGCATAGACACCGTCCGTTCGTCTAAGAAAATTCTGTAACCAATACGACTATTAAATAAAAGGCGTATATGTATATATATATATAATAAAGCTTTAGAATAATAAAGCTTACCGAGAGTACTCGGTCACCGGTGGTGAACTTGCGGCGACACAAGTCCAGTCGCAATTCGAGTTTTTTACGCACGAACATGACCAACGAATCGATTACCTGCGAGGACGAACAATATATTTCATTTTGGTTCGAAGTGAATGTACGAACATCCATATAACCGATTTCATCTATGGGAAGCAGTCATACCTCGCATGAACACCATTTTCTTGGTGTTAGAATATCCTGAAACCATTGCTTRCCTCGTTTTGCGTAGCATGTTGTCYGCGTTGATCGTGGGTTATTGGCATCATCCAGCCACTTCTGAAATTTGGAGTCCTGTTCCTTCGGTATATCGGCGACGAGATTGTAAACCATGACCTTCTTTCATTTACTTCCAACTTTAACTTCGAAGGACCCTCGAAGCTTCAATGGTGTTCTCCTCTTCCGTTCACCTCGACGAGGTGGGGGGGATTAAATGGCTGGGATAGAACGAGCATGTCCTCTGAATGATCGTCTGCCACGTGTGATGAGCTCTCTAGGGGTTGTGACTGAATGTCAAGGAGCTCATCCGATTCCGTGTCCGAAAAGTCATCGTATAGTTCGTCCTGTAAAACAGTTTAGTCACTAATTCAAACTATAGGTACCAAGTGAAGTGCATCAAAACTTTATAATTCGTACTTACCTCGGGTGTATGTGGAACTGGTATCTCCTTCGGATGTTCTGTAACTTGCTGTGTCACACCGGCTAATGCTGTAGTTTCCAAATGGTCGGTTTCTAGAACGTCGGACTGCTTCGTTTCTACAGTTTCAAAATCTTTCAAAGTCCCACTGACATCTCGATGCTTCGCTTCCACGGTTTCCATAGCCTCCAGTACATTCAACGCGTCCCCAACCTCACCTCCTCGGCCCGTAGGCTCCGCTTCCATTGCGTCGGTGCCTTTGTCAGCCTCATTTACACCGTCGTGCGGTTTGTCTGTGTCCTTAGTCGGACTCTTACTACCACCAACTGGTCCTGCAGAATCTCCGTCACCAATGCCGTTGCCATCTCCATTATTGTTCTTTCGAAGAACCGAAGTATCGATTGGTATACCCTATATGCAGAAAGCATAATATCAGAGCACATCTAATTGAGACATAAAAAGTATTAATATAGTACCCACCTTAACTAGACGACGCAAGAACTTCCGAATGCTTTTCAAGTCACCTTC